TTTTATAATTTGTATTAATCGTTTATATATTCTTACATTCGATACTAACAGAGACCCTTCAAGTCTCAACACTCATTCGTGTTTCTCACTCATTTGAATGAAGTTTCTTGTCTCTTCATACCCATTCTTCGTCCTTTCCCAGCAATTCCTAATCAACGGTCTCTGAAGTCAGTTTAAGCCAACTCTGAAGTTATCAAATGATATTGAAAGATTCATTCAATCATAAATATAGAAGTACAAGTACAAGTAGTATGAAGTCATCAGTTAACAAAGACTTTTCTGACCTTCCAATAGCAGAAAAAAACACGCGAAATTGCGACCAGAGTTGAATTTGTTAAACCTCCATGTATATTCACAACAATGGTCTACTTGCATTGTATGTATGTATGCCATTGAGCGGTCCCTTCGCTCACTATGCTGCATTTCGTCTTTCCAACTGCATGTCAACAGTTGCCATTAATCTCTTGACTCTTTTCGTATACTTTCATTTACATTATGTTTTCTTAGAATGGCCGATCCTGCAGTTATTAAGAAAATCAAAATCAACACTGGTGTTTTGAAAAGAATGGTGAAGGTATGTGCTACTCGGGTGACTAAGCGCTGAATGGTCGTCTCCTTTAGGAACATAATTCATATGTGAAAGAGGTTGAAAGTATAAAGAATAAGATAGCAAAAATGGAGAATGAAGCACAAAATGATGATGACCGATATGCCATCAAGAAAACCGGGGAAGTCCTGCAGGTACCACTACTATTTCTTGATATCAATTTTCCATTCCCTCAAAGGAGACAGCAGCAATGATCGGAGATACTTCTCGCAGATGTGCTAGTTATTTGAATGAACTTAAGAAAATGCTGGAAGAATACAATCTCTCAGAAGAAATCCAAGAAGTAATTGATGCTAGCGAGCAGATCAAAGCTGCTGAAGCTATTGTCGCATAATTTTTCTACATTCCATGTTTTATTATAAAACTTTATTAAATACATTTTGGTAAAACTGTCAAAACTAAAATTTTAAAGCTTCTATTATCTTCTGGAGTTGAGAAGAAAGCTCGAGCTGCTGCGCTTTGATGACGTCGATCTTAAAAACCGTTATGAAATCGGATGTAACACTGAACCAACGTCGTTTTTGATAGGTTCTAATGATCTATCAACTAGACCTCGCATGAACGATTGTAATCGGAATTCTAATCTATCCATCTCAATGCCCACGACTCGATGAATATTTGAATAGTCCTCCACTGTTGAGCACTTCTGAGAAATAATCAATACACACATTTCTAGACTCAGAAATACCCAGTTGCCAGAGGCTTGATCATGATCTATCGAGCTTTCTGATGGTTCATTTTTCTTATCAAGTTTGGACGGGTGTAAAGCCCCGCTCTGAAGGTTCTTATAATGAGCAGTTAGCTCAGGTTGAAGAATTGAGATGCCTAGTTTAGCCATTCGTTTTTGCAACGAAGAGTCGTCTTCGTTACTTTCGGTCGTCTGAAAATGACAAAGTTGGTGTAAAATGAGTAAAAGGAAGAAACCTCGAGGGGTCCTATATCCATGTCAGGTAGAATATTCGTGTTGTTGGCACTTGAACTCTCTTCTGTCTTACTATAAAAGGGAATTCAGAAAACATCAAAGCGACTGTATATATTACACTAAAACATCGTCTGATTTCCACTGAGTAAGCTTGAGGATAACAGAAACAGTTTCGGTCAACGAAAAAATGATAACAGCTCCTATGCTTAAGCCGACACAGTGTCTTGCCAAGTCATCTGTTGTTTTTTCTCTCTTCTCATCTGTTGTTTCCACGCGTGAAGACTCGTCAGTTTCCTCTTTATCTATCTAGAAACAACTTAAAATGCGGTATTAGAATAGAAATACCTGATATTGTCCAGAATCCTCCAAGGAAACTTTCCGGAAGCTGTAGTTGACGTAAGCATTGGAAGGACAATCGTCCCCAGTTCCTTCTTCAACAACAATGCTTTTGATTTTGGAGTACATTACTATCTTAATATAGTGTTGAATAAAACATGGGGGAGTCCAATAACTTACAAAAGCACAAATATTTTGAAGCGAAGTTGCGGTCTGGAAGAGCATTGAACAAGAAAAATTGGATGAGGTGATGTTCAGGTACGAGTCTTTGCTTGAAAGGGAAATGTTTTCTGCATTAAGCAAGAAGTTAGCCAGTTTCTCTTTAGCAGCGTTATAAATTATGAGAAAAATCTGGAATATCACTCACATATGAGCTTGGAAAGTACATTACTTACAGCATCAGACGACTTCATCAAGGCTACTCCACATTTTCCTTTGTGACTATAAGCGTTTCCTTCCAAAACGAAAAGGTTAACTGCCGTTGAGTATATTGAAACGTTTGCCCTCTCTTTGGCGACAGGTTCCGCTTTTTGTTTCGTTTCATTTCCAAATATGCGAGAGAGATTTGAGCTGGAGGAAATTTATAATTAATAAAACTCTTCATAAAAGATACTTCAGAGTGGGTGCCTTGAGAGATTTCAAAGGTTCTTCGTCATCACTCGATGATGAAACAAAGCCTTTCTGTCTCGTGAATTCACTTATATCGAGTACACGCTCGTTCATCACAGCTTCTGGAAGAAATATAATATAATAAGCGTCTATTCTATTATTCTTTTACTATTATTATTCACTCTTTGAGTTTTTCGCAGACGCCAAGTAAGGAGCGCTAGATTGCGTACATTTGTTGATAAACGTAAGATGTTTTCTTTGTTTTTGGCAATGTGATCAATATTTGGAGCAAGAAGCAAATGACCTTATAGAGTCAAACGAGAAACTCACTAACGTTTCGCTTCGGAAGCAAAGTTCTTTCTCTTCTTCAGCTGCAAGTCTGGAAGATTCATTTAAAAATTACAGTACGAAGTCAGAATCTTTTGTTAAGATGACGGCATAGTTTAAGGATGATGAATAAATTATTCTTTTTTTGTTCTTTTTAAATGAATATTGTAAACAATGGAGTAAACAGATTTCAACTGAAAAAAAGAACAGACATATACGTTTTTTCCTGTATATCCTCATAATGGGATAATTACATATGTCAACTGACTACTCGGGCAAAGATGGTGAAAGCTCATAGATCCGCTAAGCTAAGGAGTACTTGTGCATATCTTTTAAGGTGATGGAGAGTTAGGTACTGACTGTGAACAATGATTATTTCCAGAAGCGTTTCACTCTTGTACTTGCCTTGAAGACAATACATTCTGTTTGAGACGGAGAATGAGAGTAAGAGATAAAGATATATATATATATATAGAGAGAGAGAGAGTCTCGGAGACAGTGTGAATAATGTTTCATTCAATTAGAGTGAGAGGAAGATTTATTAAATTAATATTTCTGCTGAGCTTCTTTAACTTTTAACCATATATGTCGTATATTCTAACTTTTTGACTTAAATGGAAGTCAATTTATCTTTTCACGAATTGTATTTGAGTTACGGAGAATGTCGATATGTTGAAAGTCAGAACTTTTTTGTGTATCAGTTGGCAATTCTTGCTTTCCTCTTAAGAACTCTATTCCATCCAACAGACAAGTGAACCTAACAGATTTTCTGTTTTTTTCTACCTTTTTTAAAGCTTCAAAAACACTATTTTTCTCCATCGGATTTGTGATTCCTTTCCTCTCACTCTGTCCTCCATCCGGAAACAGAGAGGACGAAAAAAAAGTTTTTTTTTTGTTTCTTCTATCTTTTTTTTTGTTCTCTCCCTCTCACTCTCACAAAATCTCTCATTCTCTCTGTCTCTCTCTATCTCTTTCTTTGCTCTTTTCGTTTCTTTGTCAATTTAGTGACTTCAAAGGTTTTTTGTTTCAGTTCAAAGCAATTATGAGATGAACCGTTTTCTTTGTTAAAACTAATTTTTTTGTGTCGATTACTTAAATTGGCTCGTTGACTCAAAGAGATGAGAGAGCGAAGTCTGAAGGATGAGAATAGAGGCAAAGCATTCTAAAAGCTTTGAACTGAGTTTTTGTTTAGTGTGGCTTGAAGTACGGCGACTCATGACCATTTAAAGACTTTTTTGAACTTTGTGAAGTAAAAGTGTTGTTTTCGAAGAGAATATGAGTGAGAGATGAATAAGAGAAGTGTGGAATAGGAGATGAAGAAGAAGGAGAAGAAGAAGCAGATGAAGTCAATGCCTATTGAATGATGCTATTCATTTTAATTTCATTCAGAATTAAAGCTTAAATGTAGAATCGTAACGAGACATAGAAGCTTAACATGATAACTGAAGATACAATCAGAAAGTGTTTGAAAATAGGAGAGGTCAGAGATGTATGATGAAGAGGATGAACTTCGCCTTCAAGGACATCAAGCAGGAAGTTCTGAATCCACGGCCTCATCATGTCTTTCAGCTTCTTCTCTCTTCATTATGGAGACAATACCGATTGAGTCGATCAATCTCTAAAGTACTCTGAAATCATAAGTTTACTTTCAAATCTTTCTTCACATCATCACCATTACCATTGCAATGTGTATCTCTCTCTCTCTCTCTCTCTCTCTCTCTTACTCTCTTTGTGTACCTCTCTTCCATACCTCTTTTTCATCTTTTCATTTTCATCATGAAACTTTAATGATTTCTCAAACAAATGTTAATTCGGACTAAAAAAAGAATAATGATAGACAAACATGGAAATCTAATATTTTCCTTTTATATTCAAATAGTTAACAGAAAACTTTTAAATAGAATTGTCAATTGGGAGAGAGAATGAGAGTAAGAAAGAAGCAAAAAAGAACTTTTGAACAACTTTCTCCTCCTTTCCCTCCCTCTTTCTTTCTCCCTCTCTCTCTCTATCTTTATCTCCCTCTCTAAATTCTGTACGTGTGATGTGTGAATCTCTTGGATACAACTCTTTCTTCGGAAAGCAACACACACACACACACAAAGAGTAAGAGAACAGGAGAACTTTGCTTATTACCTGCATTTCTCTTTCAGAAATAATATAAAAAAACGTATAAAACTTAAATTTACCTTTTGAATATACATGCTTGAGATAATGGATCAAAGTTCATAAAATAGAAAAGAAATGACGTTTGAGACATAGCTCTCTGAAGGTAAAATATGTCAAGTGGCTTCAAGGAACAGACTCAAGTAATTCATCCCCTCCATTCTGCCTTCAATTTTCTTTTTTTTTTTCAATTTCAAAAAAAAAAAAAGAAGAAGAAGAAAAAAAATTTCTTTTTTTTTGTTTATTCAATGAACATATTGTGCTTATAATTAAAAAAGAAAGTAATGAAAGATAAAACAAATAATTTTATATTTTATTAATATTTGAAGTTTAGTTGGAGCAAAAACCATTCGAAGCTTCATTCGTGAACTCCTTTTATGGAAGTGGATGATAGAAGATGATTCATTAACTTGTGTGCTACCACTCTTGCTACACATGCATTTCCTCATACAAGCTTTGTCACCCTTTTCTTCTTCTTTTCCTTTTTTTTTTCTCTTTTTTTTTTGGAGGATTTTTGTTGAGCTTTACCAAGCACAATCCTTCCTTCATCATCTCATCCAACTCCAGTCATTCCCTCCCTCTATTTTCTCTTGCTTCCCCAACTTTCTCTCTCTCTCTTTCTCTCTCTATCTCTCTCTCTATACCTCTCTCTCCCTCTATAATAGGCATGTGAAAGAAAGGATTTTTCATTTGCAACTAGCGGAAGTTTAAAATCAAAACATTGCGTGATCTCATCTGCTGCCAGATTCCCGGTCGCTCTAGATGGAATGAAAAATTTTCAGAAGCATTTTTTGAAGCATTTCTTATGATATTTAGTGTGTGTATCGGTTGAAGAAGCCATCAGAACATCTTTTCTCATTTGGCTCTCCTCCCCCTTTTTCACTCTTTTATTTCTCTCTGTGGTTTTCTCTCTTTGAGCTTTCATTCATCTTTTCCTTTCTTTGCGTACTTCAATCAAATCTACAAGCATCTGGAAGTTGTCTTTTCAATAATAACAAAGAATGATCAAATCATCTGGATGCTTCATCGGCTTAAGAAATGTTTTTTTCTTTCTTTCATTTTGATATTATTTGTTATTTATCTCTTTCTCTCTCTCTCAATCGCTCAATCTTTTCATGACACTCTCTAGTTCTGTCATTTTCCCTCTTTAACAACTTTCTTTTTTATTTCATTTTTTTTATTTTTTAGTCGCTGAAGCGGTTGTTCTACATTCCGGCCTCCCTCGGAAATCTTTTATCCATCTTTGGTTACAAACAAATTTACTTCCATTTTTTTTTACTCCTCCCTTTCAAATCATGGAATCATCGTCATCAGCTTTGAAGCTTCTTCTTTAAAGCTTAAAGCTTTAATAGCTTAATGACATTTTTTGACAAAGCTTCACTACCAAATAAAGCTTTTTCCAATCCCAAAGTAAAATGGATGAAAATGATCATAGTTCTCATCTTCTTCTTTATATTTGTTTCCCAGACGTTTGAAACTGGATAGGAAAGTTGAAACTTCAAAAGAAGGTTCTCTCTTTAACAATTCTTTCATTAACTATTTTATGAAACTTATATAAATGACCTCTTTTCGTCATATTACGTTCGAATCTTCATTGTCTATCGACTATGAGCTCATTGCAGATGTTTATAAATGTTCTTCTACTCGTCCATAATGCTGTTTTAGCTACCGAAGACTATGGGTTTAGATGCTTTCGTTATGCCTTTTTATAATTTTTTCATTGTTTTTATAGATATGAAAAGCTATTGGATGAGCAGAGAATTATACGAAACTTGTTAGAGAAGTCAGATTATGATTGGCGAGTACGACCACGAGGAACACTTGATCGAAATCTGCAAGAGATGGAACAGCCTGTGCAGATTGTAGCCAATATGTATCTAAGGTCTGATAATCCTTCATCCTCATACAATCCAAAACAATCAAAAAGTATTCTTTCAGAAGTATTTCGAAGGTGGATGATGTCAATATGGAATATTCTCTTCATTTCACATTTCGTGAAGAATGGATTGATGAGCGCTTATACTTCAACAGTCCTACACTGAAACATATCGTATTATCACCCGGACAGAAGATATGGGTAAACATATAGTTAATATCTAACGGTTTTATTGTTTTATATGCTTTTTCAGGTTCCAGACACCTTCTTTCAGAATGAGAAGGATGGAAAGAAACATGATATTGATACTCCGAATATTCTTATTCGAGTGCATAATGGAACTGCTCGCATATTATATTCTTGTCGTTTGACTTTAACATTAAGTTGTCCAATGAGGTTCATCTCCTATTTCGCTTTAATTTCGTTTATTTAAATAATTTTAAAGATTAGCAGATTATCCGTTAGATGTACAGACGTGTGTCGTCGATTTCGCTTCATATGCTTACACAACGCAAGACATTGGTAATGGAATAACAACAATGCAGATTAATGAATGAATAACATATTGTTTCAGAATATGGATGGAAGAGTGAAAATCCAATTCAAATTAAAGATGGATTACGTCAATCTTTGCCATCTTTTCTTCTTAATAGTGTGAGGACAGGTAATTGCACGTCAGTCACGAACACCGGTATTATCAGTTGGAACGGTAGCTGATGTAGCAAATATCATTTCAGGAGCATATTCATGTCTTCGAACAATTTTGGAATTAAAAAGAGAATTTAGTTATTATTTATTACAATTGTACATTCCTTCATTCATGTTAGTAGCTGTATCTTGGGTCAGCTTCTGGTATGCTTCTTCTTGTGTTCCTTCAAAAACAATAAATTCCAAGGCTTGATAAAGACAGCGTGCCTGCTAGAGTTACGCTTGGAGTCACTACTCTTCTGACAATGACAACACAGGCTTCCGGTGTGAATGCCAACTTGCCTCCTGTTAGCTATACCAAAGCTATTGATATATGGATTGGAGTTTGTCTAGGTAGACACATACTAACTTCCCTGTTTTCTAATATTATTCTTTATCAAGCTTTTATCTTTGGTGCTTTGCTAGAGTTCGCACTAGTGAATTGGGCTGCTCGACAGGACATTGTCCGACAAGGCTATCGAAATAGAAGACAGGCAAATAACATATTTTTTAGGTTCAGGAATTTTTGCAAAAAAAAATTTCAAATTTTCAACATTTCAGGCCAACAGCACAAGATCCTTTCTATTCTGCTGTTCCTCCAGAGGTGTGTGACGCAGTCTTTTAGCTTTTGAACATTTCCATTGGCAGATTTTGGTGGCAGATCAGACAGCTACATCTCGTTCGTGTTGGCAAAAGCTGTGGATATCACGAGATATGGAACATTCTAGACGTATCGACTTGATTTCTCGAATAATGTTTCCTGTATTCTTTGTCATATTCAACATAACGGTATGTGCATTAAAGGATATGAGTAAGATTAGCACCATCTGATTTCAGTATTGGTGGAGATATCTGTTACCGTATATGGCTGTACAAGCACAATCATGAACACAGACGGGTAATTGTATAAATATGTGACCAAATATGATTATAATAATATTATTAAATAATAAAATTTATCAAAATATGATTTGAAGAATGAAAAGTTTAATTGAAAAATGGGCGTCGTCCATCTGATCTCAGATTTTTCATTTCAACACAACTAACACATCACTCGTAGTGATACAATAGGTTAAAGACAAAAAAAATAAATGATAAAGTGTTAATTCGGTCGATTTTAAATATTTTGATTAAAAATGTTTGTTCTGATGGGTGTGGCTTTGAATTCTCTTCTCAAGAGAGAATGCTCATTGCTCTTATCTATGCTTTTTCTTTTTTTTCGCTTCTTCATTGCACATGACTTCGCATCCTTTCTTTCACTATCTGTCATATTTTATTGATTTTTTTAATAAAAAAATGATTCATTTTCAATGATTACATCATTTCATAACAAAATCAGATGAGAGATACCTCTTCCGTTTCTTGTTTATGCATATCATTAACGTAACTCTACGTATTTTCATTTTAAATATATCGTTGATATGTGAACGGTTGTGCTCGATCGTTCTTCTTCTGTTATGACATTGTTGGTTTAAGAGAGATGGAAGCATCAGTAGCCATAATACAACATCGTTCTCCGTGTTATTCAAATGATCGAATGCCCTCATCACCACATGATTATGATATAATAGTTTTAGATGAACCATCAAGACCAAGTACGAGTAGTTCTAGTTCAAAAACAGAACAAAATGTAAATTTATATTATTTTAACTTCATATAATCAATATTCATTTAAAGAATTATATTACAAAAAGATCAACAGTTGGTAATCATGCCATAGGCCAGACTGTCATTAGGTTACCTTATTTTGGCATAAATAATCATGATTCAAGCCTTTCTGAATCAGTTCTTGATGCTATTTATACTAAATCCAGGTAATATGGATAAATCTCATATTCTGTACTGTCTCTCTTCTCGTTCAAGATTACAATTAGCTCGAGCTGTTCCGGTTCCTCTGTTCGATGACCGGCAACGACGAACGCAGTTTATGAAACAGCATGTTGCACCCGGAACTGCTCTCATGTGTGTTCCTGTATCATCAAAAAGTAAAAAAATACAATACAGAATACATATAGTCGTTAATCGTCCTCTTTTCAGTTCGATTAAGCTATCCTTATGGACGCTTTGAGAATCTAGCTCGTCTTGTTAATCTCTGTATGAATACTCCAGAAGTATTAGATGTTCGCACACGTCATATGATTCTTCGGTTAGATGAGTAAGTTTGAATGGTCAGAAAAGCTATGAAAGAAAGATCTGAATAATTTCAGATGGCTCTCTCACTCGCAACGCATAAATCCACACTTCTTGGCTTCCTTGTTCTTCTGCGATTCATCGAAACTCCGAATTATCTGTTGCGTTCATAATCCAGCCTATGTACATGATAGTTGTATAAAATATATGAATAAGTACTGCATATCCATATGACTATTTATTTATTTTGTTATTTTAAGAAAAGCCGGAAGCACAAAAAGCGTTTCGTCTTCGATCGATTTGGATGAGAAAGTCCGTTTTGGTAATCTTGCTCGTGTTCAGATGATGCAATATAATAAATACAATATTCTGATCATGAATCCTTTGTTTGGCCTTCAATTACCCCACGTTGAGGTATGAATTGAAAAAATGTCTATCATTGTAAAGCAAATGCTTGACTCAGATTCCGAAATATTTCATTCTGGGATCAGAAGAAGTCCAATCAAATCCGACGTCTGACTCCGATTTTGCATTGCGTTATCCATTGCACAACGCCGCATTAACCGGCGATCAACAGACTATCAGGTAATCAGAGGAGGAGTTCCTTTTGTCTTTCAACGAAATACGCTTTATAGAAGCTTAATAGCAAAGAATTACGATGTAAACGAGCGTGATAGAGATGGATGGACGCCTCTGCATTATTCATGCTTTTATAATCAAATAAGTGCCACAGATGCTTTGCTCACGGCTGCAAGTGCTGATGTTTGCAATTATATATTTCAATTCATCTAATTAATTATGCTAATTACAGGTAAACATGCGTAATAAAGGTGGAGCAACAGCATTACATATCTCATCTATCAATGGAAATAAATATATCACTGAGTTGCTTCTATCACATCCACGCTTAGATATAGTAAGCTTGTATCTCTCAATTGCATATTGAATATTCTCTCTTTATAGAACATATTGAACAATGATGGCTTAAAAGCTATTGATCTCTGTGATACTCTACCTAAGACTGAGTATAAGGAGTGTGCTCGCTTGATCAAAGAAGCCATCAAACCTGAGAAGATACAGGTAATACCCCCATCCATGATCTATGTATATCATCTTATCTTTTTTATAGATTGATTTAATGGATGGTGGCGCTTTGATGGTCTTATTAATTAATGGAAAAGATACAAAAGCTAATGAAATATTAAATCAAATATCTCTTGAATTACATATAAGTCGTGAAGCTTTATCTTTATTCGGCCTATGGATCTATTCAGACAGTTTAGGTAAATTAATCAATATAATTTATAATAATTAACATATTTAAAGCTTTACAATTAAAAAGTGATGCGAAAATATGGCCAAAAATGAAAGATTGGTCTAGAATAGTCACAAAAATATGTCGTTATGAACAGTTAAAGGAAGAAGAAGCTAAACTCATCTTTCGACGTAATGCACATGCTAGTTTAAGAACAGAAATTGAGGTAAGTAAGCTGAGCTTTTCTTATAACATAATAGGCAATTGAGACAAATTGAAAAAAACATATACCGGATACACATATAATACCCTCTTATAACCTATATATTATATATTATATTCAAAAAAATGTATTATAATATTCTATTTTATAATATTACTGCTAATAGAGATAGCATATATGAGAATGCTAGAATGTGTGTAGATGAGTAGTTCACACAATCTCCCATTGCACACGATTCGCTACACACCTAAAGCAATTTATGATTTAAAAATATTTTTTTTTGTTAATTTCTTTACTTCAACAAATATGACGGCACTTTCGCGCATCACATTAGGCTGCTCTTGATTGAAATCAGTATCCCTGTTGATCAAATGTCTTCTGACCTGTAACAAGATTGAATGAGAGATACAATAACTTTTGAATATTAAATCCAATTAGCAACCGATAACTAGATGCATTGTGCTCAAAATGAAAACATACACTCCCTCTCTCTCTCTCTAGCATATGGTTGTTCACGTAACTCTTCACGTTCACTCGTAGTTCTCACATCTTTCACAACATTCCTCATGTATATGATAGATGTTTATGTGTGTGATGTATACGACAAACATGATGACAAACAAAAGAAACCATTTTGAGTTCATTATAAAGAGATTTCTAAAGATTGAATAAGAAAAAAGGATGGACAAACCTTCTTTTGTACAATTTTTGAATTGTAAAGTGTACATCCAGTAATATCTTCAGCTCCTCCGCATTTCCTTTCGGTAACTGTCCGCACTACAAAAGAAAGAAATATTATAATTATATGTAATTATAATATCTATTGTTTTACTTGATTCACCACCATTTCGATACCAACTAACAATGCAATGAGTATGGCTGGCATTTTGACATTTTGTTGGAACAATAGCAGCTTGTTGACAAGCTTCTACATGCTTTTCATGCTCTTCCTCCGAATACCATCCACTATGCTTATCACATTGTATACAATGAAGTGTATAACCTGTAAACGTTAAAGATGAGAATATGTTTTTCACATTTGGTCTTCTCCAGATGTTTCTTTTTTAAATTTTCCAAACACGTGTTGCGACCAGCTTACATATACTTCTACTACTACTTACCATAATCAATCAAGAGTATGAAGATGAATAGCATAATCAATCGCCGCATATTGTAACTGAAAAAAAAAGAAGGAAAACTCATTAATTATATGATATAGTAAGAACGATATAAGAAATACATATTTATAGATTAAAATGGATTCGTTCACAAAATCATTACTATATGAGGAAGTACGACAACATTTTCTGGCTGGACGTTTACCATCCTTCGATGACAAGACGGTTATACACTTGGCTAGTATACTAACCTCTTTACTATATGGAGATAAAGTGAAAAGCATGTAAGTTACTTATTCAATTAGATATACGTATAGTAGTGTATGAAGTGGAATTCTTAAAAAAAAATAAAAAAAAGGAACGAAGAAGAGAAAATTAGTTTTTTGTTTCCTTTAATTTGACGCTTGGTCGTGCTTACTAAGCTGTAACGAGTTGTAATGGAGATGTATGAGCTGCTCCAAAGATTTGTCCTTCAAAAACATCTCTCTCTCTCTCTCTCTCTTACAACCTTTCCCCTCTATACACATACTACTCATCTCTCATTCTCTTTGAACTCGTTTAAGTACTAAACTTATCTTTTGCTACTCTTTTTGACTAAGTATTGAGTAGCGTGTTAGACTATAAGTTAATTAAAACGTGAATATATTTGTTTGAATGCATCTGATGGTCAATCTGCCTTTTGAATTATTCCATTGGCTACTCATTCACATTTCTCTTCTACTTTATAAAATTCATTTCTATAATAGTCTTTAAAGCAGAAGAACTCAGTGAAATAGAGAATATAATGAAGGAGTCTGAGAGAAAGTAACAAAGAGATTGACAGTGTGAGAGAGAGAGAGTGATCATGGATGAGAGAGAGAGGACAGTTGATAAAAGGAATATATGTATCTTCAAGCATAGACACAACCGCTCACAAAATCTAGAAAAATGCAAATGAATCCAATACCGTTCTCTATTCAGCTGTCAATAAGATGAGAAGACAAAAAAAAAAGATTTAATCATATGTTTTCTTATTTCGTTGAAAGGTTGTCACATAATATCGGACAATGAGGTATCCGAAGACTTATAGTTGAGACTAGCCACCCCTTACGCTCATTCATTTGTTTCTCCTCCCCTTTTTGATCAGCCACCACCAACCAAAACCCCCCCCCTTCTATATTTCTGTCTATCTGCTCACTCTCTCTTTTTTCCTCTTATCCTATGACCTTCTCAGCTCTTCATCTTGCTTGTCAAGCCAACGGATTCTATGTGACCAAATAAGCTCAAATCAGCTTATCTTGATCGAATCGAAAAAGCTGTTGAAAATGGGAAACAAGGCCCCCAATCCTTGTAATAAAAAAAGTTGTTTGGAAGGAATCCGATAGCACAATAAGATCAAAGGTTTTCATCTTCAAGTATGTTTAATGAAAAAATAAAATGAGACGAAGAGAGGATGGGGAAGCGATGGTTAACAGGAGAGAGAGAGAGAGAACGAAGAAGAAAAAAAAAGAAAAGTTGAAATTAACAATTTCATGAACGTTTTATGCATATCATCATGCCCTCAAGGGAATATGATGAAGATGAGATACATTTTGATCGAGTTAAGCTTTGTAAAACCTGATGCTGAAACATACAAAGATGCAAAACCCTCATACATTCACATCATGAGTGTATATTATAAACTACTAAAAGAGAAGAAAAAAAATAATATTTACATATAGTTAAGGGAAATAGACTATAAAATGGAGAAAAGCAGCTAAAATGGCTTACTTCCTACCCTTTTGCTAACTAGTTGTCTGTTCATAATGACATAAAAGCTAAAAACTTAAAGCTCTTTTTTTCTTTCACATATCTATCTATCTATGTATTCTTATAAACATAATTAATAATATATATAAGGAAAAGGGAATGAGAATGAGAATTATTAGTTTTGAATATAGGAAGGTCAACTCTCCTCCTGCACAGCTAATCTTCATGAAAGCGAAGTAAGCTGTGATGGTTTAGGTACGAGCTTAGAAGGATTAACATCATTATATTCTATAAAAGGTAGAAAGATGAGATATTTGTCCTTTTTTAATTAACATATTCTCTCATAGACATACAAACACTCTCAATCATCATACCCTCCTCTTCCACACCTCTTCCTCCTTCTCTCTCTCTCTCTCCCTCTCTTTATCTTCATTTCTCTTTCTTTTTTCCGTCTTTGCGGTTTCGTTTATACTCTCTTTATAGCATCCTTAAAATAACATCCTGAGGGTGGTCAAATACATGTAAGCTCAAACAATATTTTACACTCGATGTTTACGAGTGGCTCTTTCTCTCTTCATTTACTCATCTACCTCCCATCTCTATTAAGTAACAGAATGACATCTAAAGAACGACAGAAATTTGGATTTATAGGATGAGAGAAGGACAAGCAGGTGTCATCATCTCACATGTCAAATAGCCTTCATTACCATCTCTCTCTCCCTCTCTACATCTCTCACTCTCTCTCCTTTTACCTCTCTCTATCTTTGCAACCGTTTAGAGCTGCAAACCGTGAAAAACATTAGAGTACCGAAATTAGCATATTATAATTGAGAGATTGAATACAATACCCAAGATTAAAGCCTACTCATGGAAGTGATTCATTCTCCTTCAATTTCAGTTTTTCATTTGAGTGAGCATAGGAAGGAAAGAAAAAAAAACAAAAAACTAACAAAGGCAGGTGTTTGAGAGGGATGAAAAACGAAAAGATGAAACCTTCTTTTCTTTTTGAAAGAATAAATGAATGTTCTTGATTACATTCATTCTCTCATTCTCTCTCTCTCTTTATTAGAAGAGAAAAGTTGTCTTCCCTCTGAAAATGTCAAACAGAGTGTCAACGATCCTTCTCTATCTGAAGATGTTGTGGAGTTTTGAATGAAAATATATTTTCTTTACGAATTATACAACAAATGAAAGTCTCTTTTATGACATTTTTGTTTAATTTGAATTTGCTCTTCGCCTATTTATGGTTATAGATGAGTTGAGATTGAAGGAGCCAAAGGGGGGAAGACATTCATCTACAGGAAAATTAAGAATATGATCAGCTTTTGGATAAGAAGAAAGAGAACGACAGAACGAAGTTATAAAAGGAGAGAAAAGGAAATTCTTATTAAACGATAGAACAGGGAGAAAAGGAATAAAGAGAGAGGGAGAGAGAGAAAGGGAGCTGGCAAAAGGGGGATAGGAGGAGGATAGGGCTTGAGAAAGCAGCCACCAATTAGATGTCTGGTCATGTCATATTGTTCGGAGCACACGTTTTGCTTATTCTCCTTGCGCAACAATGACAAAACGCTTCACAAAAATGTTTTTCTGTTCAATCCAAATTGGGGGCTATGTGAACAATCTCATCTATGCTCTCAGATACAGTCTTTCATTCATTAGATGTAGAAGGATGCATAGATGGAAAGTTATGTTGAAGCTATATGGTGAGGGTGGCATAGAAGGACAAAGCGAGCGTAAAGGACAAGTGCAAGCATCATGCTTCAACATGAATGGTATTTTATGAATTTTCAACATCTGTCCAACTACAAAACGATAAAAATTGAATTTAATGATCATCAGGTGGTCATTTACAATCTTTCAGTTCATTTGGAACCAGAAAAAACACAAAATTGTTTGAAAAAGGAAGAATATAAGTGTTTCAAGTTGCAATTGGGCTAAAGAGTAATGCAATTTCGATGAGGATGAAGATGAAGAGGATGAGCAAATTGAGAAGAAGTGAGAAGTTGTTGTTACAAAATAACATTTCTCTTACCTCCCTCTGACCATTTTTGTATTTTTTTTCATTAAAGTTATATCTAGAGAGGGAGAGAGAGAGAGAGAGAGAGAGAGAGAGTAGAGCTTCAAAGAGATATGTTAGAGAGTGGAGAGTGTGTAAACGTAATCGCTAAGATAGAACGATGGGTGAATGTATTTGCATTGATCTCAGAAGCTTAAATGGCTCTTTTAATAAAGTTGAAGAAAACTTTTTATGATTTCTTAACACTTTATACTCTCCCCCTCTCTCTATACTCTTGATCTCTCTCTCTCTCTCTAGATATCATCATGCATGTACGTGCGTGCGTGGTCTTGGATTTTCTTTTTTGAGAAAGAAAACATTTAAAACAAAACTGAAACTGCAAAGAAAACAGAAAAAAGACGGCAAAATGTATGAACTAATTTTCCTTTCAATTACTTGAAACAGATAACAACTTTAAAAGTTTCTTTAGCTTACAAGAAGAAACCAAGAGAGAGAGAGAGAAATGCAATGAGAGAGGGAGGAAGAGGTCAAAGAATGCGTATTTGAGGCTTCTACCTTAAGCCCTTTTGGCAAATTAAAAAAAAACGAGCGAATACAAAGAAAGTTTCTGTTGGTTTTTCAGAATTTTTTTTGAAATTTTTTTTTCGTTGAAGAAATAAAGCTGACGAGAATAGATTCTCATCGTTCTCACTATCCTCGTTTTTCTTCAATGAATAGAGAGAGAGAGAGAGAGGGGTGGGGGGAGCTTTGCGATAATCAAAAGTGAATCTATGAGATTGGATGGGCAAGGAAGACGGGAATAAAAAAAAAGAATTTTATAAACGAAAAAAGGAAGCAAACGAAGAAAACACAGTTGTGAGACGTCATTCATCAAGCTTCTTTGACTTTTACGTTAACAATTTGAGAAAAAAGAAATAAGAAGGATTAGATAGACATTTGTCAACAAACTAACCATTCACATGATATATTGTAAGTTAAGAATAGTAATATCTTCATCATATCTATTCTCTTCAAAGATTGTTGAAAAGTTAGAAGAGAGAGAGAGAGAGAGAGGGAGGGAGGGAGGGAAGGAGGGAAGGGGGTTAAGTTATGGCAGAAGGTCACACATACACACATATACGCACTGGCATACTCACATCTCATTCAAGCTGTTCAAATTCTTTATGCAAATTCGCGTAATAACACATGGCCAGGTAGAAGTAGAAGAGAGAGTAGCATCGCTAAAAGCAATTACCTCCTCCCAACAGTTGCAATATATGAACTGAAAGAGACTTTTCATTAAAACATATTTATATGTATATATATTTATATAAAATCTTTTAAAATTGTTCAAGCATTAACGGAACACGTAAATACCATAAAGAGCAATCGTCCGGAATTTTTGGCTTTGACCGCTTACGGGGATTGGTAGGAAATGCCCCTAAGGAACATTAAGTTGCTATGAGAGTGTGTGCCAGCTGACAATTCCATTCTAAGCTGACCTCTCTTTCTTTCTCTAGAATATTCACTTTTTCTTCTCAACATCCATATCTCTCATTCTCTCTATCTCTATATATCTCTCATATTCATATTGTATCTCTTTTTAACTCCTTCATACTATATGACTAATCCTTCCTACATAGCTTGTTGCTGCATCAGAATCGTTCGCACTTGAGGTTATTTGAGTATTTGGTAGCTTAAACCACCCCGAGAGAACAATAAAAGGCCATATTTGGTAAATTGCCTTCAATAGAAAGTTCAGACAAAGTCTTAAAAGAGTTGGATGAGCATATTCCTTAAGAGAGAGAGAGAGAGAGAGAGAGATGGATGGATTGAAAGAATAGGAACGTTAATGGAGATTTACTTAAAATATATTATTTTTGCAGTGAATCGGGTCAACTTGAAAACGTTCTTCCGCAATATCTCCTCCGCAATACGACGGTTGATTGGAAGGCACAGATAAAAAGCAGATTAAAGGTAATTGGAATAGACAAAATATAATAAATATCATTCAATAATAAAATTTTTGTTTAGAAAGCAAAAAAAACATCATCGAACGTTGATCTGCTGCAAACGGAGTTTCTACAAATATGTCGAGAGCTGAAGATTTATGGTTCAACATACTTCGAAGCTGAGATATATAATACAAGGGTATTTTTGAATTCAAAATAATGTTTATGAGAAAAAAAATGGAAAAACGAACGAAAGAGATGAAGAGGAACACAGAGAGAGAGAGAGAGAGAGAGAGAGAGAGAGAGAGAGAGCGATAAACGAACAACCGGTCGTGGATATTGCATAAATCAAAATGAATATCACTCACCTTAGACGAATAACGTGCAACGTACGTGAAATGGTTAAGAGTTGAGATTGTATTTTGGATTATACTCGTTCACGATCTCAGATATTACTAGATAAATGAAATGGGCATAGATAGAGTCAATGAAACATACACGGCACGAAAATGAAAAGTCGCAAAGTTCTCACACTGAAGGACTCTGACTTGGTTAATAAGTAATAGATTGTATTTGAGTAATTCATTAAGTGTCCATTTAAGTACTTAAAATGAAAACAAATTAATTCTTTTGTTAAAATATACAAAGGAGAAGCACTAGTCCCTCTTTCTTTCTTTCTCTCTCCCTCTATGCGGGTCTCTTTCTCTCTTTATCTCTCTCTCACTCTCTCTATGCTTCTCTGAATATTCTTTGTATTTTATAATATTTTAAATATCAACATATACTTTCTATAACTTGTTTTTATAATTGCTCATCTGTCAAAATTCATCATCATAACCATATGTTCAATAGAGGAGATGTTGTGAGACAAAAACCTTTTTTGTGTGTTCCACCCTCTCTCTCCTCTCTTTCTCTCTTATACTCCTTCTATCCTTCTACCTCTCTAGTTCATAATAGAAAAACAATGAATACTTAAGATTGAATGTTTTTTTTTCATATCCTGTACTCCTTCTTTTCAGCCAATAGTTCTTCAAGGACAAGTATGGTGTGCAATTAATGATCAAGGCTTACACTTAATTACCATCCATCAGCATATACATCGAGCTAGTTATGATTACAAGTATGATTATCATTATCATTCAACTGTTATTCATATTTCCCTATTTTCAGAGAATTGACATTTGGTCAGAAGAACTGGGATGGCCGTACGGTTCTTCATGTAGTAGCCAGAGCTCATGATCATCAGTTCTACATCCTCTCTAATCAAGTCTCCCATCTCATCATGTTGATTCAAAAAATAGGAAATATTAAGATAGTCGAATAATTATTTATTATTTCGTTATATTTGTACAAAAAAAAACAAAAAAAAATTAGGAGAAGGAGGATTGAGAGAAATACATAGAGAGAGAGAGAGAAAGAGAGTTAGACAGACAGAGAGAGAGAGAGAAAGAGAAAGAGAGAGGATGTTTCTCGTTTCCTTCTTCTCCTCAAAATCCTTTTTTTTTTATTATTTTTCAAATAAGTGGCTTGTTAATTGAAAGATAATAGAAGGAAAAACTGGCAATTTATCAAATCGAATGTCACTTGTAAGAGAATATATTGTGTTTTATGAGAATATAAGATCACTTTCATAGTTTATTTAAGTTGATTTTTCTTTTATTTCACCATTTTCTTTGCTTTCCTGCTTCTTGCGCTCTTCTTCTTCTGTAATGAATAAGAGTTAGGAAGTTGAATTAGGTACGAGGTAGGGAGGCTTAGGGGCTCGACGGTATGAAACTGAACTTGATCTATGGAATGAACAAGAAGTAAAAGGAGAGAGGTATAAAGCTGAACATCAATGATGATTCTTCTAAAGAAGTTTCAGAAAGGAAGGGTAGGTAGGAGAAGGTGAAGCTGAACATCGATGATGATGCTTCTGTAGAAGTGAGAGGACGGGAGGGAGGTATCAAGCTGAACATCAATGATGATGCTCCAAGAGAAGTAAGAGGATGGGAGGGTAGGGAGGGATGAAGCTGAACATCAATGATGATGCTTCTAGTCAGTTGAACATACCTTTTGCTGCTCTCTCCTTCCAATTTGCTTTATTTTCATGCAAAAATTTCATCCATGGCGTTGGAATTTCTAATTTGCCACAATAATTCAACGGCAGACGACGTATGGAATTGGGTGTTGTAGATGAATTACGTCTGGAATGTCTAATCATTGATTGAATTGAGAGTTATATATTATATAAACATACATATCTGGTAATGGAGATAAAGCATTACTAGGGCTTGTACTATCATTCTGATCTCCATTAGGAGGAAAGAGTGTATCTGATGGTGGCAAGGAGACTAATGGTTCAACCATTTTCGTTAACAATTCACCGCATACAACCATTGTTGGCTCAACAATAAAATCAATAAAGCCTTAAAATGCATATATGGTAATGATATGATTAGATTGATGTTGTATAACATACCAATTTGACTATCAGCCACATGAACAGTATGACGATCACATAACGGCGAATACGGTAATCCCATTGATGACTCTAAATCTCCTTGACGGAAGAATTCTTCGAGTACACCTTCTGTCCACCGTTCATGTAATTGCCATGGCTTAGATGGATGTGATATGTCACAAGCATGAACAATTAAACATAAAGCTTTGTTTTTGTCAATTCTATAAGTATATGAATGTAAATGATCATATATGAATGATGCAATTACCCTTCAGGTAAGCTCAGCATATTCTTCATCGTTTTAATTTGTACAAAATGTGTTGACATGTCTGTCGCCAAAACAATCTCAATTACCATATTACGAAGCTCTCTGCAATATACAGGATGTAGAAAATGATTGAAAAGTAAAAAGGTTAGAAGAGAGAGAAAAGGAAGTAGAATGGGATGTAGATGGAAAGGTTGAAAGCTTGAAGCTTACCTGAACTCATCACGCGTCAAGTGAGCAAAAATATTTTTATCATCATCTTTCATTAGTCGAAAACATGATGAAACATGATGATTCTCTAATACACTTCGATCATTATATAATAAAGCAAAATTCGATCTAAAATAGAGAAGAGATGAGATGAGCAGCAGCTTATAGATATTCAAATACCCGGATTGTATATGGAAGTTGTTTGTATGGCCCGTATGTTCATAATCATGAATTAAAGCTCCGAATAGAACAGCCAACAGTTCCAAATCACCCAAACTGTTCTAAAAGGAATGAAAATTCAGAAAATAGTATCATGTAAGCATGAAATATGTAAAGTAAGTGAAACATACAGCTAATCCTGTCTGGCTAAGCATAAAATGAGATGATTGAGTGACATCAGCAGCATGAATAACGTTATGATATGGATTGTTGTGTTTACTGTAACCAGCTTCTAATGCCAACAAGTAGTTTTCGAGATTTGACAATGGTATCTGGAATAGAGTTTAAATGAATTCTATTCATTATTATAATCCTTCATCCCCCCCCCCTTTGCCATCTTCAATTCAGAATACGGCACATACCTTGAATCGATCCATAAATCCGTATCGATTGAAGAGCTCAAAGCCAACAAACTTGAGTGCGTGACCTTCGGATATTTCATTCAAATGAAAAGGATCAAACGACCAGAGATTAACATCCTGAAATGAGAAGCTTGAAGATAGTTTGTTTGTTTAACATGAAACATACACGTAAGATATCACAGATTTCTTGTGGTATAGGACATTGGACTGTTTGCTGTTTACGAAATAATCTGGAACTGAATGATGAAAAGCCAAGAATACGAATTATCATGTTTAGTGGTGTGGTGCAGCACACACGGAAAGAAGAAATGCAAATTTCAATTGATCTATTATTATATCTCATTTCTAAATTATAATTTCACTTTCTTTATCATTCAATTTGAGAGGAAGACAGAAGAGCATAGATATCACTGCAGATACACTCAAACATACACACAAGAGAAGATATTGAATTGTATTTTCTTATAAAACTTCTATAATGACCATTCATTTACATATCAAACTCACTTATCAAAGAAGATTCCTGTTCGAATGGCATTGGCGACGGATTTGAATTTTGGTTTTTCACGCTTTTTACCCGCATTTTGTCGAGTGAACGTTGCTGCCAGCCATTCTCGCACCTTGAATATATTATACGTATAATATATAATTAATGTAAATCATGATTTACCTCATCTGGAACTGTTTCTGGTGTAACTTCAGCCAGATCATCATCTTCATCACATATTCTTCTGAAAGTTATAAATTGATAAATATGAGGAAGTATGTTAGTTACCTGGTCTCATCCATATAAGCCGTTTCCAACACCAACGCAGCATATTCGATGTTTCGTTTGAGATCTTCTATCGGCAATTGACCGCTATTCAACTGATGTAATATATAGCGAAGTCTATAAACATTACAAGCGTTCATTCATTGCCATAAAAGGTAAAAATTAATTTTTTATTTCTTTCAATTTGGATGTGCCTATGTGCCTAAGGGGGGTGCATGTGTGCGAGGAGTGAAGTGGAGTGAAGGTAGAAGGGGGGAGCGTAAAATGAAGAAAAAAATTTTTTTTTCTTTTTTTCAAAAAAAGCCGCCATCGTCACCTGCATGAATGTTTGCGAAGAACTAATTGATAAAAGCCGAATGTATCTCCGACAATCATATCTAACTTGAAAATGAAAATATTGTTGTTGTGTGATTAAAAGATAAAAGAAGAAGATGAAGCTGAAGATGAAGATGCTGAAGACGAAAAAACAGAAGAAATTGAATACTTCAGGCAAAAGACATGATGATGATGATCATAATATCTTCTGGCTGATGCTTTTCGTGTACTCGCTATCGTTTCCATGGTTACAAACGGAATGATGAGAGATATAAGCAGAAGATGAGAAATATCATTTGAATAGAAGAGTACCTCAAGATATGGAAGGAAATGATGCAATAGATAAATGAGAAGAAGCCCATAAGTGATGACGAAAATGAGAGAAAACAGGCAAAATGAAGAAGAAGGTGAGATGGAGAGATCAAGTTCATTCTGAAGGAGCAACAAGGAAACGAAGTGTTAGCCAGGCACGAGAAGATCCTCCTTTTTTTTGGTCAAAAAAAAGAATATGTTGTTGGTTATAGCAGTGTCTAACACCTTAGAGGAAATAAAAAGATGCGAACATGAAGATATATGAAGATAGAGAGACAGAGAGCGAGTGAAGACGATGCTAGTATAAGCATGAGCGATAGAATCAAACGAATGTCACAGGTTCATATGAATAGCCGTTCAGCTTCACACAAGCCATACATGAACTGCTAGACGTGTGAGCAGGAGAAGGAGGAGTAAGATGAAGACGGACACACATACACATACATACACATATCAATGGCCAAAGCCATTCTTTACCAAAATCAATTGGACAATGGTGGATTAGAGGGAATACAGAGAAGGGGGAAGCAGAGGATTGCTGTTACCAATCTCTCCTAATCGTCAGATGCTGTTGTGATATGGTTTTTTTGGATAATAAAAAAATAGAATTTTTGATTATAATAATGCATTTTTATATTTTAATGATGGATTATCACGCATGAAATTAAATATGTGTATAGTTAAGACTTACTTTTCTATTGTTGCCACAGCTGCTGTTTTATCAAATGAACGTTCACGAGTAGTTGAAGATGATTCATTTCGACGTAAAAGAGTCACTGGACGAGCTGCGGAATCAACTGCAATTTCACTCAGATAATATATAAAATATAAGAGAGTATTATGAGAATGAGTGAGATGAGTGAGACAGAGAGACATAGAGAGAGAGAGAGAGAGAGATTCAAGCTTCATCTATCTCATCACCATCATCATCATCATCATCATCATCATCATCATCATTTTTCTATTTTTGGTTATAATTAAAAGATAATTTTACCATTCGATCTATCAACATTCATGATGTTGAGAACTCTTCGATCCTCATCAGGCCTTCTGCATTCAAATTACTTTTTATCCTACACACAGATAGAGTTTGTAAGAGAGAATGAGGTTATACAGATAGATATAGAGAGATATCGTAGTGATAGAGAGAATTGAGATGTATAGTCAACCTCTTAAATAGACAGAAGGAAACTGAGAGAGAGAGAGAGAGGGGAAGACTGGATGAGTATAGAACCTCTCAAAGTAAAAGAGAGAGAGAGAGAGGGAAGCAGATGAATATAGTAATTGGAAAGACAAAAAAAAGAAGAGACAAAACTTTCGTCTTCAAAGATGAAAATGAAACTTTTCTCTTTGAAATGATAATTGCAGTGACTGATAACAATCCCCAATCACACCTATTATCTCTTTTCCATTGTAAACTATATAA